ATGGATGGATGGATACCTATATGCATAGATGGATAGATGGATGGATGGATACTTATATGCATAGATGGATGGATGGATAGATAGCCAAGTAGATAGAGTCCATGATAATAATAATAATAACAACAACAATAATAATAATACGTTCTAATACTAATAGTAGATACATAGCCGCTTTGAGTTTCTTTCGGGAGAGATATGTGGGGTATACATAATAATAATAATAATAATAATAATAATAATAATAATAATTTAATACTTTTATGTTAAGCTGCTTTGAGTCTCCTTCAAGAGAGATAAAGTAGGGTTTTATTACTATCATTAATAATAATATGCTAATGCTTAGATTTTAAGCTGCTTTATGTCTTTTATTTTTGAGCTATTATTATGTTTATTTATTCCTCACTCGAAGTGACTTAACAGAAAGGTGATTCAAATCAGCACAAAGAGGAACCATTTGGGTTCCCCAAAAAATTGGGGCAAAACCCCCTATTTGAGATCGGTCTCTCAACCCGGAGTGGATTTGGTGCCCTCGCGACCTGGAAGCAGCCAAGATGGAGGCATTTTTCGCAAGCTCCTTCTCCTCCAAGGAGGTCAGCTTGGAGCCTGACTTTCTCACTCAAAAGAAAACAGTGCGAACTCTTCCCAAATCCCTGCTGACAAAGCATTGTGCGCGCAAACCCCTGTCTTGTCGCAACGCTGCGGGTCACGTCCCTTTATCCGCCTTTCCACGGATGATCGAACCGACAGAGCGGCAGTCGCCCTCAATCCCTGTCCCTCCTCGGCTCTCCTGACCTCCGAGGAGAAGGAGTCCTTAATGAGCATCCACCTTCATTAACCTCCCTAATTACATGCAGATTGCAGCCTCCAATCAGCCGCTCCCCGGTGCCAAGCAGAGGGGCCTAATGTGACTGTGTATGCAGATACACACACACACACACACACATAAATACACACAAAATTCATCAAGTCCAGGTTCAGGAGGAGAGAAAAGGCCTTCCTTCCAATGCCAGCTGCCACTGCCCTATCTCTCTCTCTTCATCCCAACTGCCACTGCCCTGGCATCGGAAGGAGAGACGGGCATGGCTCTGTCATGGCCATGCCCAGAAGGAGATGGAAGTCTCTCTCCTCCACCCAACTGCCACTGCCCTATCCTGCCCTCTATCCCAACTGCCACTGCCCTACCATCGGAAGGAAAGAAGGGCATGGCTCCATCACGACCAGGCCCAGAAGGAGATGGAAGTCTCTCTCCTCCACCCAACTGCCACTGCCCTATCCCACCCTCCATCCCAACTGCCACTGCCCTGTCATCGGAAGGAGAGAAGGGCATGGCTCCGTCATGGCCAGGCCCAGAAGGAGATGGAAGACTTTCTCCTCCACCCAACTGCCACTGCCCTGTCCCTCCCTCCATCCCAACTGCCACTGTCCTGGCATCGGAAGGAGAGAATGGCATGACTTCATCATGGCCAGGCCCAGAAGGAAATGGCTCTCTCCTCCATCCCAACTTCCTCTGCCCTATTCCTCTCTCCATCCCAACTGCCACTGCCCTATCCCTCCCTCCATCTCAACAGCCACTGTCCTGGCATCGGAAGGAGAGAATGGCATGATTCATCATGGCCAGGCCCAGAAGGAGACGGAAGACTCTCCCCTCCACCCCAACTGCATTGCCTTCTTCCTCCATCCATCTCAACTGCCACTGTCCTGGCATCGGAAGAAGAGAAGGGCATGGCTCCTTCATGGCCAGGCCCAGAAGGAGATGGAAGGCTCTCTCCTCCACCTAACTGCCACTACCCTGTCCCTCCTTCCATTCCAACTGCCACTGCCCTATCCCTACCTCCATCCCAACTGCCACTACCCTATTTCTCTCTCCACCCCAACTGCCACTGCCCTGGCATCGGAAGGAGAGAAGGGCATGACTTCATCATGGCCAGACCCAGAAGGAGATGGCTCTCTCCTCCACCCCAAACTGCCACTGCCCTATTCCTCTCTCTATCCCAACTGCCACTGCCGTGTCCCTCCCTCCATCCCAATTGCCACTGCGCTGGCATCGGAAGGAGAGAATGGCATGGCACCGTTGTGGCCAGGCCCAGAAGGAGATAGAAGGCTCTCCCATTCACCCCAACTGCAATTACCCTATTCCTCTCTCCACCCCAACTGCCACTGCCCTGGCATCAGAAGGAGAGAAGGGCATGACTTCCTCATGGCCAGGCCCAGAAGGAGATGGTTCTCTTCTCCACCCCAACTGCCACTGTTATATTCTGCTCTCCATCCCAACTGCCACTGCCCTGGCATTGGAAGGAGAGAAAGGCTTCATCATGGCCAGGCCCAGAAGGAGATGGACGGCTCTCCCCTCCACCCCAACTGCATTGCCTTATCTCTCTATCCATCTCAACTGCCACTGCCCTGGCATCGGAAGGAGAGTCAGCACAGTTCCCATCAGGCCTAGAAGAGAGAAAGGGCCTTCTGTTCACCCCCAACTGCCACTGCCCTTGTATCAAAGGATGAGTCCAGATAGGCACAACTCCACCCATGCCCAAGCCCAGAAAGTGATAAAAGACTCTCCCCTCCACCCCATCTCAACTGTCACTGCCGTGGCATCAGAAGAAGAGAAGGGCAATGCTACATCATGGCCAGGCCCAAAAGGAGATGGAAGGCTCTCCCCTCCACCCCAACTGCCAGTACCCTATTCCTCTCTCCATCCCAACTGCCACTGCCCTGGCATCGGAAGGAGAGACAGCACAGCTATCATCAGACCCAGAAGAGAGAAAGGGCTTCTATCTACTCCCAACTGCCACTGCCCTGGCATCAAAGGATGAGAAGTACAGATAGGCACAACTCCACCCATGCCCAGAAAGTGAAAAAAAAAGGTTCTTCCCTCCACCCCAATTGCCACTGCCCTATCCCAACTGGCATTGCCCTGGCATCGGAAGGAAAGACAACACAACTCCCATCATGTCCAGAAGAGAGAAAAGGCCTTCCACCCTCCCATCTGCCACTGCCCTATCCGTCTTTCCATACCAACTGCCCTGGCACCAGAAGGGTGCAGCTCCTTCCACCCCAACTGCCACTGCCCTGGCATCGGAAGGAGGTGGCACAGGTCCAGAAGAGAGAGAAGGCCTTCCCTCGGCCACTGCCTTACCCCATCCTTTCCAGAGATTACTACACACTTTTTATCTTTGGATTGAGATGCAAAGTGACACGACTCACGGCTTCAGTTTGGGCTAAAACCCGAAGCGGATGCCCCATCCCACCCATACAAAGGCTGCCATCCAAACCTGGCCCTGGAAACCCTGCGACTGCTGTATGCTTCCTATCTTAGAACACCCCAGAGACCTTCTCGGCGCCTCTTGCATGAAGATGCTGAGACAAAGGCAACCAATGCCCTTTCCCCGCTGCCTGTTGTCCAGAGACATGCGCTAACGCCACAGCCTGCTGAGGTCAGTGGTTTCTCCGCTCCGGCCTCTGCATTATTCATCTCTCTGCAACGCAAAGAAAGGAAGGCTTCCCTCGCTCTGCAGAAAGGCCCAGCGTCCCCAGAGAGAGGGAAAGGAAGACACAAGATTGGGATATGGACAGTTTGCGCCCAAGGATGCTTGTGCTAAAGATGCAACCCACTGCACAACAGGGTGAACATCTGTCGGGAGGGCTTAAATAGTGTCCTTCCTGGCAGAAGGGGGTTGGGCTGGATGGTCTTTAGGGACCCCTTCCAAATAGTAATAATAATAACAATAAAAATAGATAATATAATAGTAACTCTATCTTTCTTTATGGCAGAAGGGGGTTGGACTGGATGGCCTTTGGGGGTCCCTTCCAACTCTATGCTTCTACTAATAGTTATA